TGTGCTACGCGAAGGCATATCGGATGCATAGGGAAGAGGAACGTGTTAGCAGTAAGGCCGTCGAGCGTGCTTCCTCGTGTCCCCCGTATGATGGACCTAGGCCATAAGGCACCGATATTTTGTGCATATAAGCTTATTCTCTCCTTTCTATCCCTTTATCGGAATGCTCGAGGTTCAAGAAGATCCTTGTAGATTGCCTTGATCATTCCATGAAACAAAAATGTTATGCTGATTGTTACGGGCTCGTAGTAGGTGGTTTATGCTCCCCCCCCCCCACCATCTGTCATATTTTTCTTTTCTACTAGCATGGCCCTCGTGTGCATGGTCTGTTTGCCGTTGGCCTGTTCGTCGACACCGACGCTTCACGAACGTGATCGATGGCGAGAGACTTCACAGATAGCGTGAGATTCCTGATGGACCATGCCGAGGACGTATGAGGCGCCGAGGACGGACCGAAGCAGGGACAGGAAGTTGGACGACGCACAGGACGGGTGGAGGATGAGGACGCGCGCCGTGGAGGTGGACGTCGGCCGCACCGGGTACCGTCGAGTTTCCCCCGGGCGTGCACGTAAGACAACCTTGAGGTGAACCAGCCTGTCAGCGCCTCGAGGACGAAGCGAGGGTAGGTGGCAGAGCGGTGTGACATTAATTACCAGGCCGGGGCAGCTGCCAGCCTAGGACAGATGCTCTGACCTCACTCCGTCGAAAACAGGATGCCATGCCCTGGGCAGAGCAAAGGAGGAATGACTAGTCTGTCCCAAGAAGAATTAGAACGAGTCCAGCCGTGCCCCGAGGAACACCTTTCCCCTCTCGCCTGTGTGCAGGATGACGCTTCCACCTACGCACCCCTGACCTGCGACCCCCGGGAACGTATTGCTGCTACTTTCCACCGTCGCCTGAAGGCGATAGCAGCTCGTGTTCCGGAGGCGAACCTCTACCAGAGGTTCAAGGTCTCGCCTCCCTCACGTGCCCCTGCGCCCCATTATCTCTTCCTGGGGATCTGTGACGCACCCTTTGGCAGCTTGGCTGGTGAAGTCCCTCACTCCCCTTCTCGGCACCTTCTCTCCTGCTCACCTCCGTCATTCCCAGGACTTGATCTCCCGTGTCCGGGGTGTCCCGCCGGCGACCATGATGAGCATGGATGTCGACTCCTTGTTCACCAAGGTCCCGCTAGATGACGTACTCGCTTTCCTTGAGAGGAGCCTCCCCCAAGAGGATCCTCGTCTCCCTCTGCCCACCGACGTCTTCCTCCAACTGATTCGTCTGTGTGTGGAATCGAACTCCTTTTCCTTTGAGGGTCGCTTCTACTCCCAGACCTTCGGTGTTGCTATGGGCTCTCCCCTTTCTCCGGTCTTGGCTTACCTGTTTATGGAATTCTTCGAATCTGAGCTTCTCCCTTCCATCTCCCTTCGTCCGACGGTTTGGCTGAGGTATGTTGACGACATCTTCGCTCTCTGGCCTCATGACCCTGCCCTGTTCTCGGACTTCCTGACCCAGCTGAACTCTCTCTCCCCTTCCGTTTCAAGGTGGAATGGGAGGTTGACAACAAGCTCCCCTTCTTGGACACCCTAATTCATCGCTCTCTTGACCACTTCTCCATATACAGGAAGCCCATGCATAGTGGTATGTACATACACTTCTCTTACCATCCTCTCCATGTAAAGAGAGGTGTTGCCACGTCGCTGTTCCTCCGCGCCCTCCGCATCTGTGACCCCCAGTACCTGGATGGAGAGATCGACTTTCTGCGTCGTTCGTTCTCCAAACTGGGCTGCCCTCGTCATGTCCTCGACGCCGCGCTATCCAGAGCACGGCGGACCTTCTACCTCGAATCCTCTCCTAAAGAGACTCCTCACCTGCCCGTCCTCAGCCTGCCCTACACGGAGGAGATCAACTCTCTCCGCCGCCCTCTTCATACTCTCAACTGCAGGCTGATCTTTCGCCAAGTGAACACACTCCGTCATAACCTGGTCCACATCAGCCCTCCCTCCTCCTCGAAGGTGGGAACCTATGCTGTTCCGTGTAGCTCCTGTGACAAGCAATACTTTGGCGAGACGGGCTCCAGTCTCACCAAGCGCTTGTCTCAACATAAGTATGCTATATCCAGGGGACACCGCTCTCTTCTGCCATCAGTGGGATACAGGCCATCAGATGGACTGATCAGCGGCGCGAATTGTCTTTCCTTCCGCTGACGTCCACGCCGCAGACTGGTGGAATCCTCCTTAATAAAGCTGCTGCCTAATTTCAACTTGAACAGCGGCTTTTCTCCTGCCGACAGTCTCCTCGCTTCACACATCCTCCGCCTTCTCCCGTACGCCGGCCATCCTGCACACAATCCGCCCGACCCTCCGACCTGACCTGACCTCCCTTCGCTTCCGTCCGTCTGTCTGTTCTCACCTGCCCCTGTCACCGCGTTGCCTGTCCTCTCTCTTTTATACCTCTTCCTCTCACTTTCCTCTTCAGGATGGAATCCAGGTGGATTCCGAAACTGTCGTCTCATTTTCAATAAGTCTAGTTTTTATATTGTGGGTTTTTCTACCATACCTCTATGTATTTCTTGTTCTGTATGCCCTGATGAAGCAGTAAATGCGAAAAGGCCTTCGGCATATTCGGGTGGTTTCAGGTACTTCCCTTCGCTGTTCTACTTGCAATTTGTTTGACATGAATTCCACACACTATACCTTGTAAGGATTGCCCCCAAGTTTTACTTAGTCGAGACCGGTAAAGCTTTTGAGAAAAGAATTCATGAACATAAATGCCAGAGAATCGGGTTTCGTTCATTTACGTGATGAAGGTTACCAGCTTAACTGGAAAGGCACCATGTTAATTTAAAATCGGCAAATTCGTATGAAAGAAAATGTTAGAATCTCTATTAATTAGAAAAACGCCTAATTTTAACTTGGGTGCTGGTCAATGGGGCTTGGATGACCTTACCTCCTCGCTAGTTAGCAAAGCCTCCCCCAGACTCTTCGACCTTGACCATCATGATTCAGCTCTTGTTCGTTCTCCCTCTCCCTCATCCATTTCTTATCTCATTCTTGTCAAAATTCTCTCTTTTTATCTATTTCGGTTTATCATTCGTCTGAAGAGGAACTCGTGAAGAGTTCGAAACGTTACGATCCATATCCATTTCGTACTGTGGCTTTTCACATTTATTCTCATTCATGCCTTTTCTGCATTTGTCAACATGAATACCTTTAACTGGACATTTTCACCTGGATTTTTGCAAAGAGTCAAAATCAAATCAAATTCTCACTCTCAGCATCTTTCGTGTTCTTATGACTTGCCCTTTCCGTTACCACGACTATGTTCACACTTTATCTGAAAGCGATACAAAGTATATGAAGTGGAAGCAAAAACAAAATCCTTCCCAGAGACCAGCACTTATTGATTATATTGATTTGGTTGTAGCTACTAATTTTGTCTTCGATATGATTAGTGATATATATATTTTTTTAGATATGTGAATAATGTAAGAAAAACGGCACAGCCCTTCAGGTATGAAGAATTAATGTTTGATAAATAGCCCTCTATATAAACACAAGCAGTCAGTTTGGATAAATGCTTTAGCATCATAAGTTAGCTGTGTGTATACCCTGCAAAAAGTTCTGTAAACAAATTATCAAATCAGCTATCAGCTATCCCAAGAAAGGTTTGCACCCTGCATTGCTCTGGAGGCCTTTCTATTGCGCAATAGACTTGTAACCGTTCATTCCTTTCGTGTACCGAAAGACTACCATTTTAATTGATTTTGCATAGTAGCCGACTTGATTATGAAGATAAAAACTTGAAAATTCAATACATAATTACGATACAACAACTTCGCTGCAACGTGGTATGCTTTGATTATACACACCGCTCGTCTCCAAAAGTTCAAATATCCCTCAGCAATGCGTTTTCCGGATGACATGAATGAAGTTAAAAAAGCAGCCCCAGAAGAAATTCCTCTTCGTCTTAATGACGCAAGGGAATTCCCACACAAGCAGAGGTCGACAGGATGATCCCTACAAAAAGCACATCTCCATCAGGCAGGGTAGAAGTTCTGCCATTCTCTCCTTGCCCTTTTGCAAGGCCCGTAAACTGATCTGTAAATAACTATTTCAAACCGAATTACCAGCGTAAACCCATCACTGAGCTGTGGCAAAGTGGATCAACGCACCATTGGCATCTGCTGATATCAATGCCCGCCAGAGTGAGAAACAGGCCTCAAAGAGAGCCAACAAAGGAATGAGATACAGGTACTCTGTATTACAGCAGACAACAGGAGACCTTATGTGTTTTTTTATCTATTTGATCTACGTATTAGGCTGGGTAAAATAAAATATATGTGGTTAAAGTCGATAAATTGGCTATATCCTACACCCTGGGCTGTCAGAGATGTTTAAAACCCCGCAAAAAATAGTATGTGGTTCACAAGTTACTAACCCTAAATGCTCAACAAAGCTAGAAACTTAATAAATAATATCGGAGTAAATATATATGGCAAAAGATTAAGGCGATGTTCAACAATGTGTTCGAATGCCTTTCGAATACCTCTTATTAAGGTTGTATATTTTATAAGAACCTTCAAGCAGTTTGGAATTCCTAAATTCCTGAAAATGTTTGCCAAGACTTACGGTTTTTATTTGTATACGGTCCTAATTAAAGCTATCAAGGCCTCCTAGCCTTAGATAAAAAGGTTTTTTTTTCTAAGGTTTCACCAAGATAATTGTATGTATGTATGTATGATAATAGAACCATACATCGTATATCAAAAAATGCCCGTGCCTATAAAGTATGTGGAGTGGTGAATAAAACCGCCGACATCATCGCCAGGCGACAGTTTAGTAGTTTAACAAATATATTAGGTAGTAATGTTTGTAGTTTAGTCGTTTAAGGGGTAAGTGATCACTTTGCAATACTAACCGCTTAGTATTGCAAATATTTTGACCAAGAATCACTCTCCCGATCCTAAAAGATCGTTTCAAGTCGAGCGCCAGAACGAAAATGGAAAAGGGCCTGACCTGGCTTCGTTGTAGAGCAGCGAATCATCGAAGTGAGGGTTGATCTCAGCCAGGGCGTCCACGATGCGATTGTGTTCCATTACAAACAACAACCTCAGATTCTCCAGCTGGGATGGACGCAGACATCACATTAATCACCAATTCAAGTGAATCCTCAAGGCACTCGCAACGCATATATTGCAAACTATAGACAAACCATAACGAAGATGTTTTCGTTCCCCTCTACACACCCAATCGTCTCCTTCCGACAACTGGAAGCATCCCTCGAAGCTCTCTGGGGCAGCGCACTTCCCCTCTTTCTTCGTCCCACTGTCACTCTCCTCCTCCTTCTCTGGAGCTCTGGCGAGGTTTGAAAAGGAAAGGATTAATGACACTGATAACTCCGATAGCAAATTCTCAAGGTCTTTTTTCCAGAGTGTGAATAAAGTGGAAAATGACAAGATGTCGAACATGATAAAACTTACTTGAGGTAACCGAAGTATCCTGTCTTCCTAGAAAAGGCGACCTCATTGGTGGCTCCGTAGACAGGCGTGGCATCCAAATACGTCGACACAAGGGATAGCGTCTCTCGATGTCCTATTATAAATTAAAATGGCATATCAAAAACAGATCGTCAATCAGAATTGTGGATGCCTAGTACAGTTGTATTGCCCTATGCCATCTGTACTAAACATCCTAACAACATTAATAAGTCTTGAAAAAAGTACTTTGTTAGGTTCTTTACTAAGGAAACTTGTTTTTACTCTTAAACCATGATTTGAATATTTCACATTACTAGCTTCCTAGCTAGCTTACGTTAGAACTGAACTTTCCAGAATTTCGTTTAAAAATATATTTCACGAAATTAACTGACTGCAGACGAAGAGCTAAATATTCTCTCAAGAGAATGGAAACCCTTATTGTTCTTGTTACTGTAAAATATAGAAGGCTTCCAAGTTTCACATATAAACCTTGCGTATTTCATGGATTCGCGACTGGACGATCTCCGTTCTTACCAATCCCTTTCTGACGTTTCCCTTCCTTCCCAACATTCCAAATGCTTTCATTCCCCGACACCACTCACCAAGGATTGCCTGTGCCTTCGCCGACCTCTTGAAGCTCAGGCACTGGATGGTGGAGTGGTCGGGGTCGTCCTTGGCCAGGTAGATGGGGGCGCAGTCCTCCACCTCGGGCGTGGCGCAGCAATCCACGTCCTCTGCCCAGGGCGATTCCTGTCAGGACACAAGGACTTCAGTTTCTTCGATATATTCTTAGATGATTATGCGTTCATATTCAAATATGAAATTAAGAAAAAAAACTATATTCCTGAAAGTCCGTGCAGGAGCTATCGCCATGCCACCCCTTACAGGAATGCTGAAGGAGTCCCGCTGAAGGAAATGTCCCCACTCGCCAAAGATTCCCGTGACAGGTGGCTTTTTTAGGTGCTTCCTCAGGACGTTGGCCACCGCCCTGGCTGAGGGCAGTGTCTTCTCCCCCGACACAGACTCGCGGAGGGAAAATCCTGTAAAAAGGCATGTAACACTAGTAATGGGAAGAAATCATACACTAGGTCACTTTGGTTCTTATTGATATTCTATTAGATAACGCCGTTTACTCAAAAATCCCTGAACTTCCTAACCGGTTAGTAAAAGCGCCCTACACTTACCATCCTTGCCGGCGGCTGCGGGCTGGAGGCGGAGGAACTTCGCGCCGATCGCGCCCAGGTCAGGCGACTCCTGGTTGACGCAAGTGCCGTCCACGTTCGGGTAGGGCGACCCCACCATGCACCGGAACGACATCACTGGCGGGTGCGGGGAGAAATGATACGGATACAATAACGGAAGAAAAGGAATAAGTGGAAATAATACGGATACTAATAGATAATACTAACAAAGCTCTAACGAAACTGATAACCATTAACATCATGAACATCACTGGCGGGTGCGGGGAGAAAGGCTACCACTTCATTCACATTACTCTCGGACGGATGCACAGTGAGGAAAAAAATCTGTATTACTACATTCATATCGGAAAAAAAAACACAGCCAAGATTACCACCACTGAGGATACTGATGATCAAAACCCCCTTAAGAACAAACCCCTTTTTCCCGCCTCAGCCTCACCTAGACCCAGCTCCTCTGACAGGTCCTTGTCGATGTTCATCAAGGGAATCACGTGCTTCTCCAACCCCTTCAGGAGCCAGTCTTCGGGGCACCGTTTGCCCACCCGAGTCTTCCTGATCATGCCCAGGATCGTCTTCGAGGTCGACTCCAGCAACTCGCCCGTTCGCGTGACCTTGAGGGGGAGGGGGGGGAGAGGTTATAATGTCAGTGGTTGCAAAAGGTTATTCATTTATGCTCGACAATTGTGTTCGGCTCAATCTGGTAAACAAGCGTTCTTTCGTTCATCTAATCCACATGGCCATCCACATAGCCAGCCAGTCATCCAATTGTTCAGCCATCTACATAGCCAGCCATCCAGCCATTCATCTGTTCAGCCATCTACATAGCCAGCCATCCAGCCATTCATCTGTTCAGCCATCTACATAGCCAGCCATCCAGCCATTCATCTGTTCAGCCATCTACATAGCCAGCCATCCAGCCATTCATCTGTTCAGCCATCTACATAGCCAGCCATCCAGCCATTCATCTGTTCAGCCATCTACATAGCCAGCCATCCAGCCATTCATCTGTTCAGCCATCTACATAGCCAGCCATCCAGCCATTCATCTGTTCAGCCATCTACATAGCCAGCCATCCAGCCATTCATCTGTTCAGCCATCTACATAGCCAGCCATCCAGCCATTCATCTGTTCAGCCATCTACATAGCCAGCCATCCAGCCATTCATCTGTTCAGCCATCTACATAGCCAGCCATCCAGCCATTCATCTGTTCAGCCATCTACATAGCCAGCCATCCAGCCATTCATCTGTTCAGCCATCTACATAGCCAGCCATCCAGCCATTCATCTGTTCAGCCATCTACATAGCCAGCCATCCAGCCATTCATCTGTTCATCCATCCACATAGCCAGCCATCCAGCCATTCATCTGTTCATCCACATAGCCAGCCATCCAGCCATTCATCTGTTCATCCACATAGCCAGCCATCCAGCCATTCATCTGTTCATCCACATAGCCAGCCATCCAGCCATTCATCTGTTCATCCACATAGCCAGCCATCCAGCCATTCATCTGTTCATCCACATAGCCAGCCATCCAGCCATTCATCTGTTCATCCACATAGCCAGCCATCCAGCCATTCATCTGTTCATCCACATAGCCAGCCATCCAGCCATTCATCTGTTCATCCACATAGCCAGCCATCCATTCATCTGTTCATCCACATAGCCAGCCATCCATTCATCTGTTCATCCACTTCATTTGCTCAATTCATCCCCCCCAACACAGCCATCCAATTCATTCCCTCCTCCATCCGTCAATTTCCCTGCCAGTTCCTTACATTCTTCAGGACCTGCGTCAGCCCCGAGAACGTGGGCACTCCGCTGGCGTCCTCCTGCGCCCACTTCTGCAGCAGCTCTCCCTTGGTGGCCTCGAAGCCCTGGTGGAGGATGGAGCCGGCGGAGCGCGCGTACCCCACCTCGATGCACTCGGCCTCCCTGTTGGCACTCGCGCCTGGGGGGGGGGAAGAGGAATTAGATTTTTATTGAAATTTATTTACACAGAGACAAGACACACTTATATACACACACACACTTACCATTTGTTTCATTAATTTTCAAAGTGTGGGCGTAGGTTTGTTACTACAAATTCACAATACATATATGAAAACGTCTGCTATAGTTTTATATACAAGAATAAAGGTATGCATATAAATACGTTCTCTTGACTATCTCTCGTTCTTGCACGCTTATGGATCTCTTAAAATCCATTCTATTCGGGACCAAATTAATCCTTATAATATGCAACCTACAAAATGATATACATCTACAACCCTCGACATGACTCATAACTACAAAATTCAATTAAGATATTAAAAAAAACACTGATTCTCTCCTCCCTTTCACGAGCACTTCCCGCCTCCCTCCATGTCGAGACCGCCCGGGAGGGAATCACTGACCCCCGCCACTTCCCCGCCACTTCCCGTCCTGCCGGCATGTGTCCAGCGCCGTAAACTTGCTCCGTCACCACGCCCGCCCGCACGCCCGCTCCTACAACTCGCATGTCTAGGGCCTTCCTTTCACTACACCGATTATCAGTTTTACCTCTATGATGTGTGTCTTGTATATTGCCACTTTTGTAATCCGATAGGGCGTATTTAAAGATTCTCCAAAATACAACTCCAAAAATGTCGTGGTAAATTCACGCAGAACTATTCGGTCGAGACCATAATTATAATGATATAAATACGACCAAACTTGTGTTCCTATTGCATACACCTAAGTTCCTATTCATTGCAATAAGTCACTAAATACACTATAAGGGACATTGTCATTGAATAACACTAACTTATCTTCACTCCCATCTCTCGGATATTCTCGTTCGCATACCTTACATGGATGCATTATTGATGTCAACCGAAGTATATACACAATCTTCCCCACAAGCCATAGTTCGGAGCCAAACCAGCGCGTCGTGAATCAGCAGAAATCATGTTACAATTACGAAGCTGATTTTGACACGGCGCACAAGTTCTTCGGAAAGCAAGGAAAAAAAGTTCCGGAGCAACGGCGGCAAGCGGACCAAACGGGGTTCTTTCACCCTTATGAGACACCCTGCCACACACTTCCGCATTATGTGGAGTGCATGTGATGTTAGCGGCGTGTTCTGGCGTTGGAAGAAACCGAAATCCGTGAATGGTTGAGTGCGCGGCTTCCGTCACCCTTCCCCTGCGCCGCGTCAATTATGGGTCCCTTAACTGACCGATAAACACTACTTTATCTCGTGGGATGAATCTTTTATGCTCAGTCTTTCAAAACTCCGAGCATAGTTTCTGTAAATGTACTCGAAGACCCAATGCATGTCCAGGAACATTATCTGAACTACAGCATGACAACGTAAC